GTCAGAGAGAGAGGGAGTCACAGACTGAAACAGGCTCCAGGCTCTGAGCTGGCAGTCAGCACAGAGCCCGACGCGGGGCTTGAACCCACGAACCTTTAGATCATGACCTAAGTGAAAGTCGGACGCTTAACCGACTAAGCCACCCAGGTGCCCCTGAAGAGGAACGTTTGAAAGTCAGATGTCACCCCAGATGTGGGACCTTGGAGAGAGACACAGGAGCCCCCGGTCTTCATCATAAAGACGCAGGAGGGGGAGGGTGCAGCCAGCAAGAGGGAAGAGGATGAACCAGGGAGGGAGGCATCAGGGAGGCCCAGAGAACAAAGGGCTTCAGGAAGGAGGGCATCATTGGCCTTGTAACCTGCTACCCGGGAGGGAGGGCAGTTAACATGGCATGTGGGGCCCTGAGCACAGTTCCAGTGGTTACCTCAAGGTCGTTTTTAGAAGTGGAATCGCAGGATGGAAGCGAGGCTTATTTTTAGGGCCCAGATACCCTCCCAATAAACCAAAGCTACAAACTCCTTAGTAGCCAGAGTCAGTCCGGGGATTTGCTGTGGCCACACCGCTGAGGATGTGGGATTTCATCTAAGGCAAGTTTGCTCCTCCCAATTGCAGCAAAGTGTTTTCTTGTCAGTCACTGGATGTAAATAGGTATTCCGAGGTGGAGGAGTTCTTATGTTTATCAGAGGGTCAAACACCAGAGTGGCTGTCAGGCTTCTGCACAAAGCTGCCAATGAACTTGAACCTCCCTTGGTCTCTGTACAAGGGAAAGGGACAGTTGGATCCCTCTAGCCCAAGGCTCTCTGGAGTATGGTGGCCTCTGGAGACTCTTGTGCTCAGTGAAACTCCTACCCATAGATCTCCCCCAAAATTTTGGGCCGGGACATAACTCAGTTCAGCTCTCACCCTACCAAGGAGGAAACGGATGAGTCAGACAGGATCAGAGAGGGGAAGCAAATTGCCCGGGGACACAGTGCATTCACAACTAGAAGCCAGGGTAAGCAGACAGGCAAGCCTCCATTTCCCCACCTGTAAAATGGGACCAATCTCTAATTCACACAGTGTTCAAGAATATGAAAAGAGGTTGTGGTGTCAAGTACGGGGGTGTTTAATAAATGTTACCTAACAGCAACCCACCCAAGAAAGGCAAAGGAGAGGGGCACCTGGGTGGCTCAGTCAGTTGAGCATCTGACTTTTAGTTTCAGCTCAGGTCATGATCTCACAGTGGTGAGTTTGAGCCCCGCATCGGGCTCTGTGCTGACAGCACAGATCCTGCTTGGGACTCTTCCTCTCTCCCTGCCCTGCCCTGCCCCTGTTTGTGCTCTCTCTCTCTGTCTCTCAAAATAAATAGAAAAAGAAAAAAAAAGCAAAGGAGAAAGGTATAGGGGAAAGGTATTTCAGGCAAAGGTAAATGTGAGCAAAAGCTTAGAGGTGGAAGACGCTAAGGCCAGTTCCTAAAATGCCAGCTGCACGGATGGTACCCTGCAGTGAGGGAAGAGGTGGGAGGTAGGCAGATGTCAGGCTACAGTGAGTTTATGGGCTTTATTAATCTGGAGGGCATGATGGGCCAAGAGGGGACAGTGCCCCAGGCAGATCTGAATTTAGAAGGTGGATCCTGGAGCCCAGCATGGGGCCTTTGCTGACCCACTGTGTGATCCCAAGCTGTCTCTGTCCCCTCTCTGAGCCTCAGCCTCCTGCCCCTATAGCAGTGAGCTTGGCTTTGATCAGGGTTATCAGGGTTTGCAAATATAGATCTTCCTTTATGAGTTTCCTTCTTTTACTGTCTTCTTTTTTATAATTTTTTTTTATAGTTTAAATATTTTTGAGACAGAGAGAGACAGAGCATGAGCAGGGGAGGGGCAGAGAGAGAGAGACACGGAATCTGAAACGGGCTCCGGGCTCCGGGCTGCCAGCACAGAACCTGACGCAGGGCTCGAACCCATAAACCGCGAGATCATGACCTGAGCTGAAGTCGGATGCTTAACCTACTGAGCCACCCAGGCGCCCCTCTTTTACTGTCTTCTCACCTTAGACAGGGCGCTCTGCAAGCAAGACTGTCATCTGCCCCCCTGAACTCAGTGTCTCCAACACCAGGCCCAGGGTTTGGCACAGGGGTGAATGAGTGAATGAATGAATGGCTGACATCCTTTCCCTTTGGGAGGGTAGGGGTTAAAGCAGAATCCCTCCGCCCTTGCTCCCCTCTACACACACCTGCAGATCTGCCTCCAGTGGGTGGACACCCACCCACTTGCCAATTTCCTTACGCCCTTGTTTTTGTTTTTGTTTTTTTCTTTTCTCTCCAGACAATGGCTTTGTTTCTATTGTTCTTTCTGGAGAATAAGAACGCTTTCATGGTGGCACCAAAAGGCCAACATTTGTTCTCCAGGTGTGTGATGAAGGTGCCTTTGATTTTCTCCTTTACACATTTCTGTGTTTCCTTCCGTGAACATCTGTGACTTTCAAAATAAAAAGCAATGATACAAAGGAGGTTAGCAGGCCCATATAAAGGGTTTTTAAATATAAGAAAAAGTGCTCAGCATCCTCCAAATGGAATAAATGCAAATAATAACTAGCTTGAGAATCCATTTTTCCACCTACGCGGTTGGCGAGGATCAAAGTTGGCTAAGGTCTGTGTTGGTGAGGAAATGGCTGGCTCATGCCCTATGGAGGAATGGGGAGAGAAACTAATCCCGCCCCTTTGGAGGACAATGTGGCAATACGTGTGGTGTCAATTGCCAATCACCTTTGACCCAGCAATTGCACTTCTTGGAATTCATCCATCAGATGTGCTCACATATGGAAGAAAAATGTTACCCATTGCAACATTGCTTGTGATGGCAAAATATTAGAAACCTAAATGTCCATCAGTAGGAGACGGAGCCAAATCCACAGTCGTACTTCCACACTGCACAGCTTCAAAAAAAAAAAAAAAATCAAAAACAAAAACAAAAAAACAAATTAGCCAGTGGGGCAGCTCTTATGTACTGACACAGTCCAAAAGGCCGGAGATATAAAGGTATATGGAAAAAGTACAATGCAGATTTGTGTATACAGTCTGCTATCTGCAAGTATGAAATGGAAATCATTTGTGTTTGCTTGCAAATATGTAACAGGTCTCTGGAGAGATCACAGGAAATGTAACTGATTGCTTTTGGAGAGGGTAATTAGGATGTGGAGACCTGGCACAAGAGGGAAGCTTTTCATTGTACATTTTTTGAACTTCTGACTTTTTGAATGATATGATGTGTCATCAATCCAAAAACTATTAGGATTTAGAAACCAAATAAAAATAGAAAGAGTTATTTATTTATTTATTTATTCTGAGATAGAGAGGGAATGTGAGCAGGGGAGAGGCAGAGAGGAGAGACAGAATTCCAAGCAGGCTCCATGGTGTCAGCACACAGCCCTATGCGGGGCTCGAACCCACGAATTGTGAGATCATGACCTGAGCCGAAGTTGGAGGCTCAACCGACTGAGTCACTCAGGTGCCCCAAGATTTTTTTTTTTAGGTAATCTCTACACCCAACGTGGGACTCAAACTTACAACCCTGAGATCAAAGGTTGTATGCTCTACCGACTGAGCCAGCCAGGGACCCCAAAAGGGAAACATTTAAAGCTCCTTTATGATTTTGTTTGTCTGCAGTTATTAAATTATATACATGTATATGCATAGAGAACATTCCAATGATGAAGAGGAAGACAAGGAAGGAGGAAGAGGAGAAGAAGACGAAGAAAGGAAATCATCCCTGTATTTCCCGTGGGGCCAGCTAGGCAGGGGGCACCCAGCAGTGATAGGAGCAGAAGTCCAGCCAATGACAGAATCTTCCCAATATGTTATTTATTTCAAAATCAAACAATGTCTGATAAATATTTAGCCCCAATGCCTGCAGGAGAGAGGGAGGGAGGTGCGGAAATCCCATCAGTTTGAAGATTGTCTTATGTCCGTGGGAACTTCCCTAGAGGGCCCCATCCCCTACCTCCAACAAAACCAAACCAAACCCACACACCTTTCTAGGACCCTTCAGCCACAAAAAGAATCTCCACGTTACTTTTTCCATGGTAGCAGCTGGGGCCAAGGTCACGGGCAGGAAAAAGTTCTGGAAGGACAAATCGGCCTCACCCACAGCTAGGACAGATTCCTGTCCCCTCCCTAGGCGGCTCTCCAATCCAGTCTCCACACAAGTCTTCCAAAGTGCAAACCTGATCTTGTCATCTTTCCTTAGAACCATTTTATTGTCCAAATTTATTCCAAATTCCTTAGGCTACAAGGTCCGGCTGGATCCGGCATTCCGGGGCAACTAGCCCCGACCCGGTTGGAAATGCTCACTCGCTCGCGCTCGCTCTCGCTCTCTCTCTCTTCCTTTCTCCTCCTGCCACTCCCCCCTCCTTCTTCAGTCCTTTTCTTTTCAATACAGCGTTCCCTCCCTTCTCCTGGAAACCTCTCCCCCCACCCCCTCCGCCACCTCGCAGACTCATCCCCAGGCCTCTGCCAGGATGTCGCTTCTTCCAGGAGGCCTTCCCAGGTTGTCTGGGGACGGTAGGGGCTCCAATAGCGTCGGAGCACAGGTTTTGGTCTATTGTCTCGCAATCGGGCTGTCAGATCCAGGCGTGCAGGGGCCAAATACCCGCAGCCTGTGGTCTCCGCTTTAAACTGCGATGTTTCAGGGCTTGAATTCGATTAATTCATACAACTGTACGCTAGCTCCGTCTTCTCTCTCGGCTCAGAGCTGGTTCTGGCAGAGCACCAGGCTGAGGGTTGCAGGCCGGGGCTATTTTGGGGGTGTGGCCCGGTCCTAGGGATGCGTGCAGTAGGAGCCTAAATAGCTTGCCCCTCACAAACAGGGGCGAAACCCTCCATCCGGCCCCGGGGCCTGCCCCTCACAAGTATGGCATCCCTCGGATTCTTATTGGTTCCGGAGGACTCCCTGGGCAGCTCTGATTGGTGGAGGGCGGGGGCGGGGCGAGGCGGGGCGGGGCGGGGCGTCTCCCGCCCGGGCCTAAAGTGCGGCTGCGGGCAACGGGACTATGTCGCAGACGCGCCGCCACCTGCGCCCCGCTCTTTTCCTGGCGGCGGTTTCTGCGCGCGTTCCAACTACCCGGGTAGCTGCGCGGCGAGGGCTGAGCGCGTGGCCTGCGCCGCAGGAGCCCGGCATGGAGTATCAGGTATTGGGCGGGCCGGCGCGGGGGGTGGGGGGTCGTACGACGACACGTGGGCCAGGCCTGGGTCTGTGAGGGACTCGGGGGCGGGGACATCCTAGAGCCCGGGGGTGGGGACAGGGACCAGGAAGTTGGGCCTGTGCCGCGCGTTCTGGGGCCTCTGAGGCTGAATTCCTGCCTTGGAGCCTGAAAGAGGCTCCCAGTGACAGGGGGAAGAGTTGTTTGTTTAAGAAATCTCTACACCCAACGTGAAGCTCGAACTCATGATCCCTAGGTCAAGAGTTACATGCTCTCCAGACTGAGCCAGTCAGGCGCCCCAAGAGATTCAGGAGTTTAGATCTGGGTTTGGAGTCTCCAGAAGCCAGATGAAGATCCAGGTGTCTGGAGTTGGAGGGCAGGCAGGAATCAGGGGCAGTGCTGGGGGCAAGAACCTGGGAAAAGGAAAATTTCCACCTGGCTCTGTTGCGTGGGTCCTTTTCCATAGATCACACTTGATGCCTGTCAGGCAGGTGATACAGTTTAATGGGTGCGGAGCCTCTAACTAGCTTTTGAAGCCCCAAGGGGAAATAAATAGCATCTCCACTCTCAACCCCCAGGGTAGACTCTCCTGAAGCTGGACCAGCCACCTTCCTGGCCGGGTGAGCCCCGGCATACTCTTTCTTCCTTTGGGGTTCCTTCTCTTCTCCACCTGGGTGCTTAAGGCAGCTCTTCTTTGTTTTTTTTTTTTTTTTTTTTTAATTTTTATTTCTAGGAGAGAGAGAGAGAGACAGCGTGAGCAGGGGAGGGTCAGAGAGAGAGGGAGACACAGACTCTGAAACATGCTCCAGGCTCTGAGCTGGGTGTCAGCACAGAGCCCGACGCGAGGCTCGAACCCACGAACCGCGAGATCATGACCTAAGTGAAAGTCGGACGCTTAACCGATTAAGCCACCCAGGCACCCCAAGGCAGCTCTTCTTTGGGTCAGAATGTGACACCCCAGTCCTCAGGATTGGGCATGGAAGCCCCCAGGGATTCCTGCTTCTAATTCCTCTAGTTCTGAGAACCCAGCCTTCTTTGGTTCTGCTCCTGAATCCCCTCACGCCCCTCCCCCCCTCAATTTAGGGACCAGTGTAGCAGTGGACTTCATTGGAGGGAATGAGGGCAAAGGCCCCGGTGTAGGCTGCGAAGCCGGACTCGGAACGCGAAGCAAGGCTTCTCCCGTTAGTCAAAGAACCTGCTTTGCCTGACATTCTCGGGTGGGGCTGAACGGCCTCAGGCTCCCATCTCTGCCAGAGCTGGAAAGATGCCACTTCTCTCCCACACGTGCCTAACCTCTAGGCGAGGGCAATAGGGCTGGCCCTGGTAGACTTGGTGTTCCGGCGTGGCCACCGATGCCGTGGGGTCCCTCTGTTTCTGTGGACCCCTGGTTAGTCTTAACCCGCGACCTGGGGACTGTGGTTGGCAGGATGCCGTGCGCACACTGAACACCCTGCAGACCAATGCTGGCTACCTGGAGCAGGTAAAGCGCCAGCGCGGTGACCCTCAAACACAGCTGGAAGCCATGAAGCTGTACTTGGCACGGAGTGGGCTGCAGGTAAGGTGGGCAGGGCCTGTGACCGTCCCCCGCCCCCACCCTCCTTTCTAGGAATCTTGTGACTGAGATGGTTGTCTGCATGTCTCAGGTGGAAGACTTGGACCAGCTGAACATTATTCACGTCACTGGGACCAAGGGGAAGGTGAGAGATAGGCCTCAGGGGTCCAGCTATGTACTTGATGGGGTGGTAGGGTCCAGCCTGCCGAAACGAGACCTTTTCTTTCTAGGGTTCCACTTGTGCCTTTACTGAACGTATTCTCCGAAGCTATGGCCTGAAGACAGGATTCTTTAGGTACTGAGGTGTGGAGAAATGTGGGATCCCTTAGCTCTCTGGGGTTGGGGCTCTGGAACCAGCTGGCAGGAGCTTGGCTTCCTGTCTCTCTGGCCAGTGTTTATTCACGGACCATTCTACATTCCATTAGCATTTAACATATTGTCCTAAGTTTACGGCACTCTTTAATTTTCATGGTGAAACAAATTTGGGAGAGGGGGTGGGGACTTGAATGTGTAAACGAAATACATAGGTTTGTCACATATCTTTTTATTAACTTAGCTTCCATGTAAGCTTTTATTTATTAACAGTTTTTTCAATATTTATTTTTGAGAGACAGAGCGTGAACGGGCGGGGGGGGGGTGGGCGGCACAGAGAGAGAGAGAGAGAGAGAGAGACACAGACTTCGAAGCAGGCTCCCGGCTCTGCGCTGTCAGCACAGAGCCCAACGCGGGGCTCGAACTCATGAACCATGAGATCATGACCTGAGCCGAAGTCAGATGCTTAGCCGACTGAGCCGCCTAGGCGCCCTTCCATGTACAGCTTTTAAATCACAGAGAAGTATTTATCAATTCAGATGTCTTTTGTAGTAAGGAGTAGAAAACCTGGCTTGGAAGGGTATAAGTGATGTAATTTCTGAAGTCCGAGCTGCAGATTCCCTTCTGCTCGGCCTGCCTCAGCTGCTGCTTTGCCCTTGAGGTAGCACCTCCTTGTGTTTGCACTCAGGCACCCAAACTCACTCAGAGGATGGGGTGTGGACCAGACATGGGTCCCTCTTCCCTGAGCTGCATGTGCCCCTCCTTAGCTGGTCACCTGGAAAACAGTGGGATTAATGTGATGCTTAATTGCTCAGAATTTGCTCCTTGGGTTGGGGGCACTTAAGATTTTTGCTTCCTTTTATTTTACCGGTTCCATCAAGTGAGATCCTATAAGCATCTGAAATTAGTTGATTGAGGTCATTTCAGGCCATATTTTCCTTCCACGGTTCTTTGTTTAAATAAAGAAACACAGAGAAGGGCTCATAATATGAGAGAGGCTTGGAAGATTCAGATATGAGCTGACAGTCTCTCTTCTAAAATAATTTTTGGGCATCTGGATGGCTTAGTTAAGCGACTGACTTCAGCTCAGGTCATGATCTCACAGTTTGTGCGTTCGAGCCCTGTGTCAAGCTCTGTGCCGACAGCTCGGAGCCTGGAGTCTGCTTCCGATTCTGTATCTCCCTCTCTGACCCTCCTCCACTTGCAGTCTGCCTCTCTCTCTCTCTCAAAAATAAACAAACATTTAAAAAATTTAATATTTGGGGTGCCAACCCCAGCCTTTGACTTTGGCCCATGTAGCCTCATGGGCCGGCCTGGGGACGCAGATTGAGCACCCAGATGGGACCTTGCCCGTGAGGGCCGGAGGATGGACATTATGGGGACAGATGTCAGCAGAGTGACTGCTGGGTGCGTGGTGGGTAGAGCACAGGGAGCTGTGGGAGCCCTGAGCCCGTGTCTGATCAGCCAGGTCATGGGGGTCCTTTTTCCTTTCTGAAGGAGGCGCCATCTCAGTCACGACCTGTGGAGGGAAGGGGGAGGGCTGGAGGAACTCCAAATAGGCCAGAGGGGCGGGGGCACAGGGAACTGTTGGGATGTGGGAGGGGTGACACACAGGCCGGTGACATCAGCCTCCCCCAGGGCCTGGAAGGCCGGGTGAGGAGCCTGGGACTCTGGCGGGCAGAGGGAGGTCCTAGCAGGATTATCAGCAGGGCAGTGACCCGGTCAGATCTGGGTCTCTGAAGACAGGTGTGAGGGGCTCAGGAAGGGAGTCCTGATGACGACAGGTGTCCCGGCAGCTCTCCCCACCTGGTGCAGGTGCGGGAGCGGATCCGCATCAACGGGCGGCCCATAAGCCCTGAGCTCTTCACCAAGCACTTCTGGCACCTCTACCACCGGCTGGAGGAGAGCAAGGTGCTCATGCAGGAGGGCTGGTGGGTGGGTAGGTAGGCGGGTGGGCAAGGGAGGGGGTGCCGGAGAGACCCGGAGAGTGTTGTATGCCCCAGGACCCCATCTCCCCAGAGCAGAGGTGGCAGGGTCCCGGGCTGACACGTTCTCGTCCGCAGGACAGCAGCAGCTGTGTCTCCATGCCCGCCTACTTCCGCTTCCTCACGCTCATGGCCTTCCATGTCTTCCTCCAAGAGAAGGCATGTTCTCCCCGACCCCCGGAATCCGGTGTCTGAGGCCCTAGGGGAGGGGGGTCTCAGCAGGCTGGCTGCCCCAGGTCCCTGACGTGCCGTCTGTTCCTCTGCAGGTAGACCTGGCAGTGGTGGAAGTGGGCATTGGTGGCGCTTACGACTGCACCAACATCATCAGGTGAGGGCAGCTGCTTGGGGAGAAGGACGGCAGCCATGAGCCCCGGTCATGGCCCTTCTATCTTCCTCAGGAAGCCTGTGGTATGTGGCATCTCCTCTCTCGGCCTCGACCACACCAGCATTCTGGGAGACACGGTGGAGAAGATCGCCTGGCAGAAAGGGGGCATCTTCAAGGTGAGCAGGCAGGCCTGGGGAGGGGAGGGACATGGATGATCTGGGCTTGGCGCTCAAGGCTCCGGGAAGTGGGGCAGGGGCAGGGAAGTGTGTCTTGACTCAGGATAAAGTCTGGGCATGAATGGGGCTCTCTGTGTCACTGGAGGAAGAGCCCTGCCCCTGGCCTCCTGTCCCCTTGAGGGGAACCCCTCTGGACAGAGGCCAAGTGAGCTGCCCATAGATAGAGGACCCTCAGCAGCTCGTCTCGCCCCTCCCCTCCACAGCGTGGCGTCCCCGCCTTCACCGTGCTCCAGCCTGACGGTCCCCTGGCAGTGCTGAGGGACCGTGCTCAGCAGATCTCAGTGAGTCTGGAGGCACCTGGGTGGGAGTGGCAGCTGACTGGGGAGGCACTTTATCCTCTTGGGCCTCAGTTTGCCCGTCTGTGCAGTGAGGGGCAGCTGCTCGTCCAGCTGGAGCACTTCTGGTTTCTTCAAGGAACAGGGCTTGGTGGGTCCTGGTGGACGGGGAAAGGTGGGGGGGGGGGCCGCCAGTGTCAAGGAGGGCTTCCCGGCCGAGGCAGCTGCAGCAGCTCCCTGGACCGGCGGTTGCCCATCTCCTTGCAGTGTCCTCTCTACCTGTGCCCACCGCTGGAAGCTCTGGAGGAAGGGGGGCCTCCGCTGACCCTGGGCCTGGAGGGAGAGCACCAGCGGTCCAATGCCGCCTTGGCCTTGCAGCTGGCTCGCTGTTGGCTGCAGCAGAAGGACCACCGGGGTAGGCGGGCGGATGGTGGCCGGACGGGTGGGCTCGTGGGTAGGGGACAGGTTGGAGACTGCCTCCGAAGGTCCAGTGCATACGCAGTGCCACGCAGCAGGCCCTCCCTCTCCCCCCCCCCCCCCCCCCGTCCAGGCCTCGGGGAGCTGAAGGTGTCCAGGCCCAGTCTCTTGCGGCAGATGCCCCTGGCACCCGTGTTCCAGCCCACGACCCACATGCGGCATGGTGAGTTGGACCTTCCCACTCAGCCAGGCCCCTCCAGATGTGTGTTTGCTGTTTGAGAGATGGTGGCAATTTGAGATGGTGCCCAGGACAAAGGACTCGAAAGTCCGTAAGCGTCCCTGACCTTGAGTTCATCTTCCCACCTGCCACATGATGGGATGATGGGGCCCACTGCAAGGTGCCATCAACAGGGGGCTGAGGCTAGGGCCTGTCGGGTTTGGGATATAGTCCTCGGCCAGTGGTAGCTGCTCTTGGTGTCGTCCTTGGCATCATCCCCATAAGACCGTGAGGTTCTTTTTATAAATTTTTTTTTAATGTTTATTTTTGGGGGAGAGAGATACAGCACGAATGGGGGAGGGGTGGAGAGAAAGGGAGACCCAGAATCAGAAGCAGGCTCTAGGCTCTGAGCTCTCAGCACAGAACCCCCCTGTGGGGCTCGAACGCACAGACAGGGAGATCATGATCTGAGCCGAAGTCGGAGGCTCAACCACCTGCCACCCAGGCGCCCCAAGACCAGGAGGTTCTTGAATGGGGATATTGTCAGGCTTCTTGCTTCCCCCAAAACTTTCCGCACATAGTAGGTGTTCATAGCAGCAAAACCCTGTTTGCAGATGATTCCAGTGTGCCCACTGTGTGCCAGGCCCGGTGTCAGGGCCGTGACGGTCCTGGAGCTAGGCAGATCACATCCCAGCACACTTGTTCGATGGGCTGGCTCTCTGCCTCCATGTACTATGTGACTAATATAGGGTAGCCCCCTCTCAGGTCTGCCTGGAAGATTCCATCCGATGAGGCAGCCCAAGAACTGATCCCAGGGAATGGCGCCTAAATCTAAGAAGAGGCTCCTCGGCTCGTCAGCTGCGCCCTCTGAGCAGCCGGGCACTGCTGGTGGGTGGTGTGTGCGAGGATTAGGGTGGGAGACGGCTACCTTGCCCCCTCCAGGGCTTCGGGACACGGAGTGGCTGGGCCGGACGCAGGTGCTGCGGCGCGGGCCCCTCACCTGGTACCTGGACGGCGCGCACACTGCCAGCAGCATGCAGGCCTGCGTGCGCTGGTTCTGCCAGGCGCTACACCGCCACCCGAGGCCGGGCCGGTGAGCTTCCCGGCAGAGGCGAGGCCTGAGGGGGAAGGGTGAGGCGGGGCCAGTTGGGGGGGCGGGGCCTCAGGGTCTAGACTGGGCCAGTAGGTGGGGTAGATGGGCGGGGCCTCGGGATGCTGTTGGGACTGGATCCGGGGGCCGGAAGGGAAGTTTTTGGAGGAAGGATGGGGTGGAGAAGCATGGGAGGTGCCTCTCTCTGACCCGCCTCCTCGCCCCCCTCCCAGCGGGCCTGAGGTGCGCGTCCTGCTTTTTAACTCCACGGGGGACCGGGATCCTGTGACCCTGTTGAAGCTGCTGCAGGTGAGGGGCCAGCCCGGGGGTGGGGGAGAAGGGGGGTGGGCAGCAGGCCGACCAGCCCTCCTTCTGGCTGTCACATCCCCCAGTGCTGCCTTCGTCCCTGAGCCTGTATTTCTTCAACTATAAATTGAGGCCCCTCTGAATTGAACTGAGCACCTACACGTAGCCAAGTCTAGTCCCAGGTCACTGCCCTCCTCCTCCGGGGTCAGACTGAAGCCCAGAGTTAGACGAAGGACGAGGTAGTGGCCTGAGGTGTAAGCTCTGGACTCACTCGTCGTGGCTCTTCAGACATTAGCATGTGACTCTGGACAAGAGTGGCATTTCACTGGGCTTCGTTCAGTTTGCATTTTCAGAAAACAGGGGTGCTACTAAGGTTACGTGCTTACGGAGTTTGGTTTAAGGAATGTCCGGGCTATCGGACATGGCGGGGGGCCCTGCTCTGCTCAGGGAAGTTGAGGCTCCCCTAGGCTGTCAGGGCTGAAGCGGTTCCTAGGGGTCGCTTCCGGTTTCACAGACCAGGAGGCTGAAGCTGATCACCTCTCTCACTATGTAGACCGAGCCTTTCCCCATCCCTGGACTTGAGGCCCGCCCAGTAGCTGGGTGATCTTAAGCAAGTCCCCCGCCTCTGTTTCCCCATCTGTACAGTGGGGTCCTACCGCCCTGGCCACAGGCCTGCAGGCGATATTGAGGTAGATGGACCACTGGAGTGCTCTGCCTGGGTTTACACAGCATCACATCGGTTCAGCTGGGGCGAGGGCATCTCCAGAGATGGGGATGCGTGGGGTCCGGGAGCTGGTGGTCGGGCACCCTCATAGGGCTCTGACGCCAAGTTTTTCCTCTTGACCTTCCAGCCCTGTCAGTTTGACTATGCCGTTTTCTGCCCTAACCTGACAGAGGTCTCAACTGCCGGCAATGCAGGTAAAGAGGTGACAGGCACGGTCCCTGAGAGGGGGCAGGGGGCGTTTCGCTGCTGAAGGCCCTTACGTGCACTGCTCTGTTGGGGACAGTGGGGGCTTCTGAACTGGAGGTCCTGGGTAGGAGCTAGATGTAAACCACCTTTGGTACATTTTGGATATTGTGGCCACAGTACCGAAAAAGAATTCTTGGGGAGATCCGTTTTCAAAATGCAGGGTGCAAGCCACCGCCGGTTTTACAGTCAATTCAGTGGGTATAAAACGGCTTTTTTTTTTTTTTTTTTTTTTTTAACAAAGTAGAAAATGTATGTGCACCTCATATAAAGGGTGGGTACTGTGTTGTGAAGATGCTGTTCCAGGTAGGCGGACACACCTATGTGAGTCCTGTGGGTCACGTTCAAAACCAAATGGGAATGGTGTAAAAAAAGCACAGAGCCCCAGCATGAGACTGCCGGGGAGAATTCAGGAATCTGCATTTCTACTTGTGCTGACCCCCGTGATGGAGCCTGCTTTACAGATAAGGGCAACCAGACTAGGGTGGGGAGATGCGCTCGGGGGCAAAGCCCCAGCTCTTCAGGGAAACCTCCCGACCCTGCATCCTCTCGGCTCTGGGACGGTGGGCAGGTCCAAGAACTCTTCTGCCCCTTAGTTTGCTCCTGGCATTGCCCAGCGTGAGGACCCATGAGGCGTGCACGGGGCCTGGCGTGCAGCAGGTGCGCACAGCACATCTCCCTTGTCCACCCCCATGTCTGGCCCCCTCGCTGATGTGCCCATCCTGGTGCCCGGCAGACCAGCAGAACTTCATGGTGACCTTGGACCAGGTGTTGCTCCGCTGCCTCGCGCACCAGGAGCATTGGAGCCGCCTGGAGGAGGAGCAGGCCGGCCCGGAGCCCGGAGCGCCCGCATCTCTGCTGCTGGCTCCCCACCCACCCGAAGCCCATAGTGCCGCCAGCTCCCTCGTCTTCAGCTGCATCTCCCATGCCCTGCAGTGGATCAGCCAAGGCCGGGACCCTGTGTTTCAGCCACCCGATCCCCCACAGGGTCTCCTCGCCCATGCTGTGGCAGGCAGCGGGGCCGACGTGCTCCGTGAGGCTGCTGCCATCCACGTGCTGGTCACAGGCAGCCTGCACCTGGTGGGTGGCGTCCTGAAGCTGCTGGAGCCCAGCCTGTCCCAGTAGCCCAGGCAGTGGGGTTGGAAGTGGGGCGTCCCCCACGCCTGCCCTGCGTCTCTCCGTGAACTGCTACATGAGGTGCCTTTAGGTTTTGCTTTTCTGGTTGCCTCGACTGGCCCGAGGACTCAGGCTTTGGGTGGCAAGATAGAGCGCCGGAGGTGGGAGGCAGAGATGGGACATCCGCTGTGTCTGAGCGTCGGGTGCCTCTGGCCTCTTCTTTCTCCTGCCTGAGACAGCCAGAGGGCTTCCTGGTTGTCCTGCGATCCGGGTTAGGCCTGACCACACAGCCACCTCCCTTCCCCCCCTGCCTGCTTCCTGCCTCAAGCTGCCTGGCCAGGCCTGGGGTCCTACTGGGTGCTGGTTGATAGCTTTCCTCCTCCTAGTGGCCTTCTGGGAAAAAGGAGGCCCCTGCACTGGGGTCTCCTAGGGACAGAGAATGGCTGGAGTCCATTAAAGCCTTTAACTTTTTTAAGGAAATGGCAAAATGTTTGCCTCTTGATTTCTAGTTCCCTCAGCACACAACAGGGGCTTGGGGGCTGCAGCTGGTACAGGAACTGGATTGTGTGGGAGCCCGCGCTGGCCTGGTATGAGCCCCTCCCTCCCTCCCTCCCTCCCTCTGAGCCCCAGGTAGGTGGCCTGTCTGAAATGAGAACACTGGATTGATGTTCATTGGCCACAGGCCAAGCTTTGGAGACCTTCCCACAGTGCCCTTGTTACAGATGAGGGAACGTGGCTGGCTTAAAGCCATGGGACATGCCCATAGTCCCACAGCCAGTTAAGTGCCAGGTGCAGGATTTGAACGCGGAGCTGCCCCTCCTCCACCCGTTTTAGGTTTCCCGCCCCTTTGCTCAGCCCAGCACTCATTTCATGGTCTCATTTATTGGTGGTGAGTATACAGGGGTGGGTCCAGGCCAGACCGTTGGGCCTCTCCCCATCTAATGCCTGCCCCGGGGCAGGGGGGAGGGGTCTCCATGTGACAGTTGCAGGGAGGAGCTAGGCTCTCCTGTTCCCAGGCTGGGCACCCCTGTTCCCAGGCTGGGCACCCTTAGGCTTCTCTTTTCTGTGCCAGAGTAGTGCCAGTCCAGGTGTGGAGGCCGCCGGGAGCAGGTCTGGGTGGCTCCAGGCTGGCCGGGCTGAGTCTGTTTCTCCCCTCCCACCCAGCCCAGGTCGCCAAGTGCTGGATCCGGGTTAAAATTACAGGGACTCGGTTTCTACAACAGCGTGGGCTTAGAGGGCAGTGGTCTCTCTCTCCGTGGTCCTAAGCAGCCGTACTCCAGGCCCACTGGGTTTGAAGGTTCGGTGGGGTGGGGGGACCCCAAGCTGTTCCAAGCCGGCGCCCCCGCTGGCAGCAGGCCTCTGGGAGGGAGGCAGCAGGGGTGGTTGCAGAGGGCATGGTCCATCCTTGGTCGAGTGCAGGCCTTGGGATCCCGGGAGAAGTCCGTGGCCAGTGGTTCCCAGCTGGTGGCTGCTCAGTGTCTCTTGCTGGGCGAGGGCTGGCTCGGGGGCCCCCAGGTCTCCGGGTGGGGCACTACGCCATGCTGCTGGTGGAGCAGGGGGTGCTCTGGGTGCTCCCGATGCTGTGGTTGGTGCTACTGCTTTCTGAGGAGGCCGGGGCGGCCACCGCCACCACGGGCTCCCGCTTGCCGGGGGGACCTGGGGGCAGGGGCGGAGGTCAGGGCCCCGGCCGGGGCTCCCCGCTCCCCCAGAGGCTCCCCCGGGCTCCCCCAGGTCATGGTGGTGGAGGGGTCCTGAGCATTCACGGCGGGGGCCTGGGATACTCACGCGTGTGCGAGTAGATGTACCAGAGTGCGGCGGTGAGCAGGGCCCCGATGAGGAAGGCGCCAAAGGTGATGCCCAGCACGGCGGGCAGGACGAGGCCTTTGTCTGTGCGTGCAGGGGAAGGGTGGCTGCAGTCAGCAGTGCAGCCTCCTCCCCGGCCCCCTACTCTATTGTACAGGCCAGGAGCACAGATTTGCTGGGGGGAGGTCAGTCCCAGCTCTGCCACGGACCCTGACTTCTCTGAACCTCAATCTCCTCATCTAGCAAGTGGGTTCGTCACACCCATGCCTGGCACTAAGCCGCGGTTGTTCTGACCGTTCACCCAGAGGGCCATGCCTCTGCCTTCCAGGGCTGATGGAGATGCGTTTTTAGGGAGAATGTATGGGTCCATAGTAGTGATGGGCCAGAGCACTCTGCTCCTGCGTTTTCCCAAGGCTCGTTCCCTCCACGCTCCTGCCTCCTGTGACTACGGGCTGCTTCTTGGACCTTTGAGCTCGCATCTATGCAGTGGGGTAATTAGCCCTGTTCTCTTGGTTGTGGACTGGGGTTGGGGGCTCCATCCTGGCCCACGTAGAGTGGCAGTAGGTGCAGTAGGCAGTAGGTGACCCCGTGCCTGACTTCTGTCCCTAGTGTCAGTGACCTCTTCTGCCTGGTGGGGGCCTGGGCCCACAGGGAATTAACAAGGGGCCTGGAGGGTGCTGGGCTAAAGGGGCGTCCTCCATATGGGGGCCTTAAGGTGAGGCCAGCCCCCTCCCAATGTGTGTTCTGCCTCATTTGATTCCAGGACTCCCCCCACGTCCCCCAGCAAGGCCAGCTAGCAACCGTGGACCTTAGGAAGATACAGATGCCTGGGATCTGGTCCACGGGGTAGTCCAGAGCAAAGGCTTTCAATCTAGAAGATGCAGCATGGGTCTACTCTGGGCTGCTGGGGACCCTTCTGCCCTCCTCCCAGTGCTGCTCTTTCCGGGGTCCTCCCTGCTTGTGTCTGTGCCACACCCCTCTGGGCCATCCATCAGGCCCTTCTCTGGCCTCAGCCACTGGAACCCTAGAGAGACTCACCAGGCAGGCCAGGGCTGACGATGTTCATACGCATGGAGATAGTCCTGTGGACTTCCTGGAGGAGGAGGAGAGAGTGGTGAATGGACAGCACAGTCTATAGGAGGCAGCTTCTGGGCTTGTTCCCTGGCTTTGTGACCCTGGCCTGTCACAACGCACCCTGGGGCCTTGGATCCCAGCCCACCACTTTCTAGTGGGGAGCCTTTGGGTAAGTGCTGGAAGATCTGTACTGAGGGAGGGTGGACAACTCTGGGCTCCTACTGGGATGTTCCCTGGGAGGCTCCTGACTCCCGTGAGGATTGTGGGGTCACTCTGCCCTGCACCTGTGACTCTTTGTCAACACCTGGGAGAAATGAGCCGGCTCGGCCCAGAGGCCTAGGGTGGAGAAGCCCACTCAGGAGTGGCCTCAGAGGCTTTCCTAGCTTTATACAACCAGAGAGGTTTCTAATCCTGGGGACCCTTCTATGTGCCAGGGCCTGGGTGGGTGTGTGTGTGTGTGTGTCCGTCCGTCCGTCCAGAGCTGTGTGGCTGAGCATAGGGACCCCCACTGGCCGGTGAAGGAGAAAATCAGAATTGTGTGTCCTTCATCTTAACCCCTTTTTTGCTGAGATCTGTTTAACTCAGTGGCATTGGTGACTGTACTACATGGAAAGAGGGGTGAGTGTAGGGATTCCGGGGTGGGGTGGTTGGAAGCTGCTGTGTGGCCGGCATGATGGAGGGACTGTGGATGAACGGACGGGATGGCGAGAAGTATCAGCTGATGACTGGATGACGGGGGGCGGGGGGAGAGTGGGACGATGGATAGATGACTTGGTGGAATGGGTGGAAGACAGGAGGGAGGGAGGGAGGGGCGGATGCTAGAAGGATGCATGGATGTTGGAAGGATGGCGAAAGAATGGATGGGAGGGAGGAACGAATGATGGATACATGGAAGGAAGAATGGAAAGATGCACAGATGGCAGATGGATGGGAACAATGAACAATGGAAGGAAAGCCAGACAGAGGATGGATGGAAGAAAGGAGGGAGTGAAGGTGGATGGAAGAAAGGGATGAAGGATGAATGGTAGAAGGATCCTTGGAAGCAGTAGATGGAAAACAGGAAGTGTGGACAGAACGGAGGATGTATGGGACGATGGATGGAAGACAGAGATGAAAGATGGAAGGATGGATGGAGGCAGCAGCAAGTCCTACTACTGTCCCGGGTACAGCAGAGCCCACAGAAGGCGGGATGGTGGCACAAAGAGTACCCCTGGTAGCCAGAAGGCACACGCCAGTCTGGTTCTGCCCGTTGCCAGCTGCTCCCACATCAGGGGCCGTCACACCCCTTCCTGGAAACCCTGGACCTGAAGCCACCCTTGAAGCTGGGCTTGGCTCAGGCTCCACTCACCAGGGACCAAGTCCTCGGGCGCAGGGTTATGGTGCAGCTGAGGGTGCCGGTTGTGGGTGTGGGCACCATGTAGCCACGGAGGAGGAAGCTGAAGCGCACATCACCACCAGGGCCTGGGGCTAGCAGGCTTACACAGCTGCCCTTGGGTGCCTGGCTCTGGATGAGCTCCACGGTTTCTGCATCAGGCCCCAAATCCAGGTGGCAGCTGTCCAGCTGGAGCATGAGCTCAGGGATCGATGGGGACATGCTAACCTACAGGGAGAAGGGAGAGTGAGGAGGCAGGTCCGTTATCACCCTTGGCTCTTGTGAAATAAGCTAGATTTATTTCTGAGAGCGAGCGAGAGAGACAGCGTGAGCAGGGGAGGGTCAGAGAAAGAGGGAGACACAGAATCTGAAGCAGGCTCCAGGCTCTGGGCTGGCTGTCAGCACAGAGCCTGACGCGGGGCTCGAACCCACGAACCCCTGAGAGATCATGACCTGAGCCGAAGTCAGACGCTTAACCGACTGAGCCACCCAGGCGCCCCTGAAATAAGCTAGATTCATTCTGGAGCTCTGCTCTGGCACTAAGGACAGTCCTGGGTCTGCCCGGAGCAAACGGGGAGGAGAAGACTGTCCACCCAGTGTCTCCCCCCCTCCACCAGGCACCGAGCCGGCTGCCTCCTCCATCTGGGGAGTTCAGCACACCCTTGCTCTGTACTACTGGTGGAAAGGAAGGCTCTGAGGATCCTGGGAGTGAGCAGGCGCAGAGGTCAAGGCCAGTACCTGCACAAAGCCTTGTTGCCCCAGCTCGATGGTGTTGGAGGCCTGGAGGAAGTGTGGGCTGAGGTACAGGCCCAGCTGGAAGTTGAGGCCCTCCAGGTTGATGCAATGCACCTTTTTCTGTGGGAGAGAGGAGGGGGGATGGTCAGTCTGGGAGGCACCCGGCTAGGAAGGTAGGGGGTGGGGGTGGGAGCAGGAGCCATGGTCCCAAGTTGCTGCCTGACCCTGACTGTCACCTTTAAAAACAACAAAGCTAATAGTTATCAGGAACTTGCTCTGTGCCCGGCCTGGGTGAATGACTTGCCATGTGACTGTTCATAAACACCCCCATGGGGAGGTGATTTCTTGTGCCCCTGTTTACAGACGTGACTTCTGGGCCGAGAAAGCTAAGTGGATTTGCACAAGGCCACACAGCCAGTATGTACTAGAACGCTCTGACTGGAAAGGCTGAGAATGTAGCCCTAAACAGTCCTGCTCCCATTGCACGGAAGGGGAC